GGCATCCTACAGCTACGACTTTGGAACTGTCTAGACTCCTACCCTACAGGTCTACAGTTCGATTCCCTTCTAAGCTGCGACCTACGAAACCCTGCCTACCACTGGCGATCCTACAGGTCGCGGGTTCAAGTCTACGGGTTGACATCAATACTGTACACAGGTAAGATAGGGAACTAGGGATCGAGCCCTGGGATCTGCATTCGCTACTGCGAACTGGTAATTACCGTTTCACTCCCGCCGGCCTAAATTTGAGGTCCTCCGAGAAAAATTCAGTCCAAGGCAGGACCTTTACCCTTCTGTTGTCTCTCATAGGCCCGGACTGTATCGGGAGCTGTCTCTAGAAGTTCAGATCTTGTAAACCAGCGGTCGTCTTCCAGTTCCTGATAGCTAAAATGAACCTTGTATTGTTTCTGCGGACGACCTCTACCTCCAGTTCTGAAGACATCCTCAGCCACTATACCATTTAGGTCATATCTTCCATCCATATCAGGTGGGATCATCGATCTACGGGATGGAAACTGATCACTTGTTTGACAAGGTAACAACTTTGACGCATGGAAAACTGGGTAAGTGTGGAGGTGTGCTGGTAGCTCTATGGTATAGGACGGTCCATCTTCGCCGCCCTTGACCTCTAGAACAGGCCACGGTCCTGTATATGTGGGCAGTAACTTCTGCGAGATGTTCTCCTCAGGCGCAAACTCTTTGGAACTAACCCAGACTAAGTCGCCTACTTGGAACTGTGAAGGGCGACGATGTTTGTTCGCTTGCTCTATCATCTTATGCTGGGTTTTCCTGAGGTTTTCTACAACGGTAGCTAGTTCTTTCTCATGCTGCACAGCAAACTCCCGGGTCCCGGGCGGCAATCTGTGACTGATCCCGGTTGAGTCCCTCAAACGGTCTGCGCGGTCTAAAGGACTTGTGCAGTTCGTTGGGAGTGCGACATGTAGACAGATGCACGCTATTATTGTACGCACTAGCTACTTTGGGCAACATCTCATCCCAGCTAATCTGATCCGGCCTAATATACATGCGCAGAACTTGCTGTAGGATCTTGTTAATTTGCTCCGTCTGACCGTTAGTCTCTGGATGACGGCCGGACGACATCAACAACTTGGATCCATACACTCCCATGAGTTCTTGCCAGTTCTGGCTGGTGAAACGACTATCTCTATCACTAACTATTGACAGTGGGATTCCGTTCTCACTAACCCAACAGTCAAAGAATCTCTGTATGACTAAATCAGTACGCGCCTCTGAAGGCAAAGGAACAAAAACTGCGTACTTGCTAAAGCGGTCAACTATGACCATGACTTGGCTCTTGCCATGCCTGCTGTTGACTTGAGTGTCCATGAAATCTATTGACACTGAGTCTCCCGGCTGATCCGGAATGGGCAAGGGTCTGAGAAGACCTAGCGGGGCGCGTGTAGAACTCTTATTACGCCGGCAAACTTCGCAACTGCGAACATACTCTACGCAGCCATTCTTCATCCCTGGCCAGGTATACGCACGCATAAGATTGGCTAAGGTCTTTTGCCAACCAAAGTGACCCTCTGTGTCATGGCATTCGCCCAGAATCAGACTACGAATCTCTTCGCTATTGGGGATGCACAGGCGGTCAGACACATTAGTCTTCTCAAAAAGCAACCCTTCGGTAGTGCGGTAATTCGGTTCAGTCTCTGGGGCCTCCTTGACTTTCTTAAGGAGCTCACTATAGATAGGGTCCTGCACGTAAGCTTCTCTAACCCCCTGCTGCAGGTCCTTCCCTATATCGAGGTAATGTACTATTGCCCCAAAGTAATCCGCTCTCCTACTCAGAGCATCCGCGACTACGTTGTACTTCCCTTTGACAGGCTTGAGCTCAAAGTCATACTGATCTATCTCTGCGGCCCACCTAGTAAGCTTAGGTGTCATCTTGGCCTGCGTCTTTAACCATCGTAATGTCTCATGGTCAGAATAGACTTTGAAGTGCC